TTCCCCTCCCCTCCTCGCTTGGTGCCGCTCCGGCTGCGCTGCTCCGAGCTCCCCAGCGCCTGGAAGCCGGGCGTTCCTCCGTGCGCCCTGCCGCCCGCTCCATGGCGAGGGGAGCAGAGGCTGAATCTCCATGGCGGAGGAGGAGGCAGGAGCAGCAGCAGCAGCCGCCGAAGCTCCCGCTGCCCCTGCCGCTGTTGTGAGGGCTGCAGCGGCGGCGGCGGCGCCCCCCCGGTCGGCGGGCCTGGCAGCGGGACCCGGCTGGCCAACACTTTCCGGCAGGTGGCGCGTTTGCACTGGGTCCTGGTGGAGGACGCCGCCGTGCGCACCGAGCTGGTCAGGCGCTTCGTGGCGGGACTCGCCGACGCCGGTCCGCCTTGCACTCACTTGCACGTGCCCACGCCCCCCCGCTACAAGCGGCCCGGACTGCCCAGGGCCACCGAGCAGCGCAACGCCGGCCTCGCCTGGGTCCGCCAGCGGCACCAGCACTTGCCAGCCCCGCAGCCCGGAGTGCTCTTCTTCGCCGACGACGACAACACCTACAGTCTGGAGCTCTTCCAGGAGGTAGGGCGGGGAGGTGGGGGGCGGGGAGCGAGGACGGGAGAGCGAACTCCCTCGAGTGCTTTGAAAGAGTGCCAAGGCCAAACTTCCCAGAAACAAGGCCCCCTTTGGCTTGAGGGGACCGACTTTACAAGCCGTCCGGGCGTGTGAGACCGTCGCCATTGCTCGCGCTCAGAGACGCGGGAGTGTTTTTTCCCCTATAGATGCCGCGTCGCCGCAATCCCTTTCTCCCGCCACCAGCTTTGCCTGCACGCCCTTTCGCCCTGCTGCGCAAGCACGTGTTTGCGGCGGGCCAGGATCTGTCCCGCTTGCTCTCCCCCACCTACACGCCTGCGCCCACCGACCGCCCCGAGTCGCCCTCCAGCCGGCGAGGCTGCCAGACTCGCGTCTCTGCCGGCAACTTTGCCCACTCCGTACTGTGCTTGCATTTCATCCGTGACCTGCCCCGCATGCATCTCAAGGCCCCGCAGCGCTGCCAAGCCAAGTGTTCTTTCCAGTGTTTCGCCAAATAGGTGGTGTGGATATATTTATCCTGTTTTCTTGCCGGCAGGGTTTGATTTTGAGCCAGCCTTTAGCCTTAAAATTTGTTTTCGTGCCACCTTTTCGGTCTTTGAAACAGTAAGTAAGGAAATGTGTTTTAAGGTCTGCAGAGTGCCCTGCCTCTCCCGCACTTTTACAATTAGAAGGAAAGTTTTCCAGAGATTGACTTCCAATTGCACTGTGTGTCTTATTTGAGAAATTATATACTTCACTGTTACTTAGGTGCGAGCCTAAGGTCCCCCCCCCCCTAGGTGTGCCATCAAAAAAGAGTGGATTGTCTTTCATTCATGTACAAGTTATAGTTATGTCCCACAACAACTTGTTCTGTGTAAGGGGTTGTCTTCCCTTTAAGTGCCTCTGTTAGTGGTTGGCCCTCATTCAACCTCAAACTGGTGTGTGGAAGCCAAGGTGCAGCCTTCCCATTAACGCCGTTTTTTCACCGCAAAGACCTTGAAAGTTCAAATGCAGTGATGCATTACCGAGGAATAGCTGTTGTTCTGTTACCACTTTGTTTCTGTCTTCCAGAAACGCTTCCTCTTACTGCATGCAGGGACACACCCCTTAGCTGTTGAGGGTTTTTTCCGTTGTTTAAAAAAAGAATCCTCTGTAATCTCAAAGTGGCTTCCCAAAAGTTGTTGTGGTAAACCCACATTTTAAAAATTGTGGTTTCAGGGGGTAGCTGTCTTGGTCTGTAGTAGAACAGTTAGATTTGCATCAGGTGGCACCTTATAGACCAAGAAGATTTTCAGGAGATGAGCTTTCGAGAGTCGAAGGGAGCTGGAGGAAGGGAGCTTGAAAACTTGTTCCCTGAAAATCTTGTTAGTCTCTAATGTGTTCCGCATTTTAAAGGCTACATTGAACAGGATGTTTACTTATATGGAAAAGATCAAAGGGATCCTAGTCTGGTTCTCTCAGCTGTTTACTGTGTGCGTGTGGGTCCTCTTACCACAAATCAGGAGCTCTTTTCCTTAGCCTTGCTGTAATTCCTTTTCTCAAAACTGCCCACTCTTTGGTGACTGAGCACCCTGTCAGGTGTCTCTGATATGCGATACACCCCTCCAAAAAAACAACAACAACACACTGTGCAGGCTTTTGGGCAAAAACAAGTTTATCCCTTTTCCAGTGGGAGTTATTGGCAAATCCATGGAGAGGAGGTGGTAGGGAACAAGAGGAGGTTTGCCAGTTTTCTTTTTTACTTCCCTGCTGGCAGGATGGAGCATTTTGTGTACATAAAGCAGTGTGAAAGGAGCATCTTGCACATAAGTAATGGATAAAAATGTAACTTTGGTCAGGGAAAAGAAAGGAAGTGCAGAGGCCTTGAAGGCTATGCAGAGACACTGAAATAAGCCGTAACCCACTCAGGTAAAGGATGTCTGCTAGCTTGCTTGCTGCATATTGGGACAAACACCCTCTGTGATAAAGGATTTCCCTTTCTTCCAGAACACTCACAGCTCAATAGGCTATAATCTTCCCCTTCCCCTACAGGAGAATGCCCTGGTTTCACAGAATTCAGTGGAATTAACATTTATGCTTTGGTGACCCTAGAGAGAGGTGAACGCCTGTGTTGCTGCCTACCACAGATTCCTTTCTGTTTTGCATCTAGGCCAGGTGCATTAAGAATCAATAGATTAAAGCTGAGGCACTGCGCAAAGATGTGGAACACATCCAGTCCCTGAAGAGAGAGTTGTTTTGGAAAGCCTGCTCAACCCTGCTTATGTGTGTTTAGATTTCAAATGTGTTTGGATCTCTTTCAATATGCTGCTGGCAGGTGTTGATTTCTCCCCCCTCCCCCATACCACCATTCAGCTGAAGAGCCTCGCTTCCTCTGCTTATGTGGCAGCCTCATGCATTGAAACTTTTATTGAAAGTGATTGAAAAGAAGAGATTTCAGTTGTTCCGTGGCTGTGGTTTATTTTCTGCTAAACTGTGGGAGACTGCGCATAGCTCTTTAATGCCGGGAGAGCGCAGGCATTCATCTTCTTGGTTGTAATTATTTCAGCTGCGCACTCTGTGTGGACTGATAGCTGGTGGAGTTTTACTTCAATGGAAGGGATAGGCTGAAAAGCTGCCCCATTCCCTGAAGTGGTGCTGAGGTAAAACAAAAACAACTGTCAAAGATAGGATTCATTTTTTTTAAGAAGCCTAAATTACTTGCATAAATAAAAGCAGTAATTACTCAGGAGTAGAGATGTGAAGGCCAGGAAAAATTCAGAAAAAACCTGGGTATTTTCCTAAAGCTTTTTTTGTTTTTTTCTGAAAAATTGAGAAAAGAAAAAATTGATTATGGAATGTTTTATTTTAACATGATGAATAAAATATTTTAAGACACGGTGTTCAAATATTTTCCAAATCATTTCTAAAAATATATATATGGTATCAGATTGATCTAATTTCTGTGCACTGAGGACAAGCAAGACCTAGGTTACAAACTGAACTCTCCAATGCAAGAACAAGATGCATTTCTTCCTTTAGGAGATGCTATTGTCACAAGAAAAGAAAAAGGTTTCAGTTTTGTTTTTGCAAGTGGGTGGGTATTCTGTTTGTAATAATTGTTTGAATATACTATATTTTTAATATGCTAGTTGTGATAATTTCATGCCAAGTAAAAATGTCCATAGTCATATTTTATGTTCCTAAAGTTAACAGAATGACTTTCAATCTCGAAAAGAAAAAAGAAGTGCTAATGTAGCATTTTTTTCAATTTTCCCCAAATTTTCCGTTCTTTTCCGGTGGAAAAACCGGGTTTTTTCACGAGCTTTAAAATTTCCGGAAATTTTACATCTCTACTCAGGAGAGAGGAAAAAAATTAACTTCTGCAAGAGCAATATAGTCAGAATGTGGCAGTTGAGGTCATGGCCGAGTAACTTCAAGTGCAAAGATGCACCCAGATTGGGTGTAGTGGTTTGTTGGTTATTACTCCTTAAAAAAACAACAACAAACCTGGCTCTTAATTAAAAATTCAGTACAAATGAGAGCCTATTCAGAATGCAGATTGCAGGGTTAAACTTAAAATGTTAAAGATAAGCAATTGATGTAGAGCTGCTGTCTCTCTTTCACACATGCAGACACGGTTCTGTGCCTAAGCTGTCCTGCAGTGTGGGAAGAGAATAGTTTGCTTTGAATAGGTACCTGTTTCCATCAAACAACACCCTGGGAAGCTTGGCATATTTGCCAAGGAGGGTAGTCTCCAACCTCAGGAGGCAATTGGTTTCCAGCTCTACTATTGATGGATGGAATTTCTCTGAGGAAGGGGCGGGTATGTTTTTCAGAGGCTGCGGTCACACGGAGCATTAGCCACGCTAGAGCGACGGAAGACAGGCGGAGTTTCCCGGTGCGATCTCACCGGCACATCTGGGAAGCGTAGCCCTTCCGTGGCTCATCCGAGGCTTCCCGCCGAAAACACGCAGCAAAAAACTAGTACCTCGGAGGTACTAGTTTCCGGAAACTGCGGGGCAAGGGCAGGCGTCTGATCGCGTTTCCAGAGGCATCCGGCGCCCGCCCATGTCCCCTTGCGAAAAAGGGTTTTTTCCCCCCAAGTCTCCCAACGGAGCATGCGCAGTCATGGTGTACACAAAAAAACCACAACTAGTTTGCCGCACCACGCGCTTCTTTTTTGCGCGCGGGATTGTCCTGCGATCAGCACCTCTCCGTTCCCACGGAACATCCACGGTACCTCCACAGTACCCCCACAGGAGGTCTGATCACTTTACTGCGCGTTAGTTTGCCCCGGGGCAAACTGCCACGCTTCCCCACCGCAGTTTCCTGCCCGTGTGACTGGGGCCATAAGAAGGTATAAGAGAACAGATAATCTCTTTCTCTATATTGATTTGGCACCTTAAAAAAACCACAACACTTCTGCAATTCTTTGAGAATGTCTCAAGCGCATTTTATGTTCTTGGTATAAAAGAATTGGAGAGAGAGGTGCTGTGTTGTTTTCACTCATCCATTGATCAGAAACTATAAGTGAAACCCTGGGAAATAAAGATTTCTGATTTGACACTCTGTTATATCTCCCTTCCCGCCCCCACCTCCTGATTGGGATCAATTTACAGAAGCTGTACTGCTTTTTGGCCCCATGTGAAAAGACCTCTGACCTCTGAGTGTATCATGTGTGCCATAATTTCTTTCATGAAACTGGATTAATGGCATGCAAGAGGAAATGGATGCTTAGTTCCTCCCCCCCCATCTCCCAGTAGCAATTCTCACTGCTGGTTCCTCAAGCCAAGAGGAGCTCTGATTTAAGAACCATTTAAAGTGTGGAGATTATATGGGTCTAACAGTAAGGGTAAAAGTAAAGGTTTTCCTTGCTCGAAAGCTAGTTGAATCAAATCTAGGGGGCGGTGCTCATCTGCGAGAGTTGGACTATAAGGAAGGCCGAGCGCCGAAGAATAGATTCTTTTGAACTATGGTGCTGGAGAAGACTCTTGAGAGTCCCTTGGACTGCAAGAAGATCAAATAAGTCA